ATGGCACAGCAACGTATGGAAAACCCCAACCCCAACCAATCCCCGACCGGAACCAGGAACAAGATACCTGGCTCAACAGCTTTACCCCCCACCTCCACAAACAGAAGCGACCAAACCGAATGTAATAACATTGGCACTACAGCCAAACAAACACTTCCGTCTCATAGTCAATAATGGGGATCACAATCCTTCAGGTGAACATCAGACATTTCTTCAACAACAGATACCTTCTCACTCTGGAAGTAGCCAGACTTAACCCAGATGTAATCTTACTCAATGAAACAGCGGCCAGACAGGACCAGCACATCTCCATCTGGGGATATTCCACCAGGGAAGTCAACAGGGGTAGGTTCAGTGGGGTGGCAATACCTGGCAATGGTCCACACATTGCAATCTCGCATCTTGGACTCTCCTACCGCCCCATCCTCGTAGAAGACGACAACTTTCTTGCAATAGAACTCACCACTTCACACGGCCCCCCTCATCGTCTGCACCGCATATCTACCACCTAGACTGGCCTACCTCCCCTCCATCCCTCTGAACAAGCTGCTCGACAGGAATCTCCCCACTATCATCGCAGGAGACCTGAATGCCCACCATCAGGCCTTATTCAACGCACCTGCCAGGCCAGACCTCAAGGGCAGGCAGCTCTTCAATCTAATGCAAAACCGGGACCTCTCCTTCCAAGGCCCCCACTTTAAGACGTTCTTTGCGGGCAACCAGAGGGGCACCCCTGACATAGTGCTGACCAACAGAGATTGTGACCTGTTCCACTGCAGAGTAACCCCAGGCAAGAACGTGGGGTCGGACCACATCCCTGTGGTCACATCCCTCCAAGCAGCCCCTTCAGATATGTGGCACCACCCAGGCCCAGACTGGGAACCATACGTGCCCGTGAATATGACACCTTCCTTGCTGACGACCCCATCATTGAGTTCGAGAACCTCCCAACCCAAACAATCGACCAAGCAGTAAACACCATCCACAACCGGATCCAGCTTGCAACCGAGGCCACTTGTGAAATATCCACCACAAGGACTTACCACCAATATAAGCCGACCCGAGAAATCAGAGGCAAAATGAATGAGTACCAGCGAGCCTGCCAAAGCCACTACCAAACTGGCCAGCCACCAGCGTTGACCCTACAAACACTCAGAAGGGAAACCATAGACCTTACGCTGACCCACAAGAGCCACATTTGGGGAACCCTAGTGAGACAGGCCAACCAGTACAAAAGGGAGCCGGGTACTTTCTGGCGCAGGATCAGACAGCTCCTGGGATCAGTTAACCCCAGCCTCACCCACCTTGTACACACATTCCTTGACGAAGATGAAGAGGAGCAGCAAGAAAAAATAGAAGACCCACAGGATCAGGCTGACCTCATGGGCGCAGCCTGGAAAAAGACACTCACAGCTTCAAACAGCAGAGCCTTCAACAACACTCACTTTGAACGGGTCAACCAATGGACAACAGAAAATGCTGCCTCCCTTAACAGCACCCCTCTGATTGACCTGACAACCCTAGAAGACGACCACCCTCTAACAAGACCCATAACTATGCTAGAGATGAGAGGAGTCATCAAAAGCACCAGAGATAAGGCCCCTGGACCATCAGGGATCAAAGCGCTGCAGATCAAACTTCTACCAGGCAATCTTATGCAATCCATACTCAACCTATTCAACGCTATGCTGGCATCGGGTCACATTCCTGTAGCATTCAGGTCAGCCAAGATGATATTCATTCCCAAACCCAAGAAAGACCCCCACCAACCTGGCAACTACCGACCAATCTCCCTCTTAGACACGATAGGCAAGTGCTTTGAAAAAATCATGTCAAACCGTCTTAACTACTACATGGAGTACAACAACCTCTTCACAGAAAAGCAGTTTGGCTTTCGAGCACATAGATCAACCCAGCACGCAATTAACATCATCTACGACGCCGTAAGCTCAATTCGAAAGCAAAAACAGGTAGCTTTGATTGCAACGAGGGACGTACACAAGGCCTTCGACAGCTTGTGGCACGATGGTCTTGTGTACAAATTAGCAGACTTACCAGCGCAAAACTGGACCCTCCTCAGGTTGATCAGAAATTTCCTTAAGAATAGGCAAGTTACCCCAGCTTCAAGGCAAAAGAGGCCGCAGCCTTCACCCCAACAGCTGGAGTCCCCCAAGGATCATGCTTGAGCCCGGTTCTCTTCAACATCTTTGTAAATGACCTACCCCAACCAGAGTATAGGGACACCATTATCGTACAATTTGCGGACGACGTAACACACGTAATAACATCTAACCCTAGCATCCAAGCGGCCAAGCATGCAACTGTAACCCGTAAGGCAAACGTAGAACTAGCAAGGACTGCTAACTGGGAAAGGAAATGGAGGATCACCACTAACCCAGAAAAGATCCAATTAAGCACTGTCGGCTGTATGGCCTTCTCCATTGAAAATGAGGGGGGAATAAGAATCAGGGGTGAACCCATAGCCATCTCAAACTCCAACACAGTGCTCGGGTACAACTTCAACAGGCTACTCAACTCCTCCCAGTACGTATCCCAGAAGACAGCGATGGCCCGGGGCTCACTGGCGAGGCTCTTCCGTTTCAACCAAGCCCCATCCCACATCAAGCTCCACCTGTACAGAATGATCATAAGGCCTAGCTTGGAATACCCCTACGTTCCCCTGAACCTCACCAACAAATCCAACATGTTGAAGATTCAACGAGTACAAAACAAAGCACTTTGCTTTGCAGAGGGCCTGACTCTGAGGGACAGGGTAAGAACTGACCTGATCCATGAGACACTCAACATGAAGCCAATGAACATTAGGCTCAGCTACCTGGCCAGAAGACAGCTGTACCGTATGAAGAACATGTATGTCCCAGACCCAGAAGATCCCTTCGTAGCAGAAAACACCACCAGCGACTACGAGATCCACGAACCACCACACAGAACCAGAAGAATCACTCTCCAACAAAAAGTGATCAGACATATCCATGATGAGGCCTTCCCAAGACCTCAGATACTAAGCGGTCTGCCAGACGATCCAGATGAGTGGCCCATCCCGGACCCAATCTACACCAAATGAAGAATAAAGAAAGAAAAAAAAAAATAAATAAATAAATAAATAAAAAAAAAAAAAAAAAAAAAAAAATAATAATAATAAAAAAAAAAAAAAAAAAAAATATATAAATAAATAAAACACCTACAAAAAAAATATAAAACCAAAAAACCATTTGTCGTGGCGTCAGAAGTGTAACTACCCTGATGTTTTTAAGATTAGCCTCCTTCAGCCAACTCCATCGGCTCTAGTGCTTTAGGACACCAAAAAGGTCACAAACACTAGCCCCCCCAGCCAATGTACTGACAACCCAACATAACACATACGCAAACAAACAACACATACAAAAATGTCAACCCATGGTGGACAGGCCACCGAACTTTCAAACCTCCTCTCTCTCTACACCCGCATCCTCTTCCTGAATTTCATCTCCCCATCCCTCTACCTCCCCCATCCTTTCCATTCCCTATGGACATCAAAGCAAAGCAAGGGAAGTCAAAATGGTAAAGAAGGAAACCCTTTACTTCTCTGAGAAGACATCTCTAGTGGGGCATTGAGAAATACATGCCAACTCCTGGGAGGGGACCATGGCCATGGTCAGAGCAAAATAAAGTTAGGGCACACAATGTGGGTAGCATAAACACAAGCATAAAATGCAAAATTAAATTAATAAAGCAATAGCTCCCCCAGTGGAATCAGAGTTCTGGCAAAAGTCAACCCCACTTGGCTGAAAGCAAGAAACTCTCAAGGGCCCAGTAGAGACCAAAGCAGTGATGATAAAGTTACACCAGGTGAACAAGTGAGGAGGTAGGCATGCTGGGACTGTAGGTGACTCAGGCTACCACCTTGTGGCAGTCAGATGCATGGATGTTAGAATTGTTCCATTGTGGCAATAATTGCTTGTCTTACTTTCTAGGGAATCAGTTTTCCATTCAAGCAGTCACTTGTTTAATTGCACCTATGCTTTCTCTGATCCCCAGGCTTCCCTTCACCTCATTTAGCAAATCAGATTCTGGTCCTGGTTCCTGAAAAGTTATGACTGGGAGCTCAGAGGCCTTGTGGTGGGAAATAAGGTTTAGTTACCCAGAATATAAACTAGGGAAGCTACTAAAGATCCTCCCAGAAACACTATTAGAGAACACTTTGAACATAACAGCTCTCCAGCCTATTACCAGAAAATACAAACAATATTTCACAAACGAAGACTGAAATGTTCAAAATGAAACATGACAAGTTTCTGCAAGAGTTACCAGGTTAGCTGGGATGTGATAGCTATGTGAGTATGTGGGCAAGCATAAATAACTCATAACTAAAATAAACTACAGGTAAAACAGATACTGTAGTTGCTTGGTGAACATCTAGTCATAAGTTGTTAGGACTAATAGAGTAATAAGTACAGTACTTGGTAGACCTTTTGATTTCAAGTATTACTTAGAGAAGGTTTAAGAGGAATGTACCCACTAACAGGAGAAAATGTTAAAATGTTTTCAGGAGAAAATGTTGAATTCTTCAGCCTCTCCATTTCCTATTATGGCCAGGCAGGGACATTTACAGAAAATACTTGTTGTGAAATGTGCCAGTTAATTTGAAATTCTTAACATTTACTGTAGAAATGGTTGTAATTCTTCTGTGGATATTTTGCTAGTCGTGTAAATAGCTTACCATAATGATTACCGAATGTGAAAGATGGGACAAATATTTGGGCATCACCCTGTTCATCTTTAACCTTCTCTTAGTTTAACTTTTGTTCATCATTTATTGACAGGCAATCCTACAGTAGGAAATAAGGGTATTGGCTGATTTATTTCAACATTATATAATTAAACATTTGAAAACATATTGTATAATATAAATATAGAGGGGGAATATGAAGTAGAAAGTTTATAAATCATAACCAAGACTATCAATAATAACCCCTAAAATATCATTATATTTACTGTACCTGATAGTCTCTAGCATTAACATCACCACGATTCTCCAACAGCAGAAACATTATGTCACTCAGCCCTCTGAATGCAGCCATATGAAGAGGGGTACGACCCGAGTAGTCTTGAACATTCACTGAAGTGCCTAAAAATGTATGCAAAATACTGTACAAAAGTTCAATCATTTAACAAATTCGTATTTTAATATAAATTAATTATGGGAGGGCCCTTTCTTACGAATATCTAACTTAACACTTTCGCGCCCCCTTCGATGGTAAAAAAAAAGCGGTATGTGCGCGCGCCGTTTTTGCTGAGTAAGCGTAAAAACAAAAATGTGTATACTCTTTTTACTCTCCTTACCTTAGTTCTTGAGCTACGTACAGGCATACCTCAGAATAAGAGTTTAATCCGTTCCTGGAGACGCCTCGCCTTCCGAAAACTCGCATTCCGAAGTTAATTTCCCCATAAGAAATAAAGGGAAATGAATTAATCCGTTCCTGACTACCCCAAAAACCCCACATCAAACTAAATTTTTATACCTAATTTACCTAATTCATCTAAATAAACCTACAAAACTGTGTTCCAGTTACAGTATTACTTACCTTTCTGTCGAGTGCTGTAGGCGTATGGAAGATGGTGAGGAGGGGGGAGGAGGAGAGGAGTTACTGTTTGGAAGGGGAGTCCCCTTCCATAATCACATCACATAACCCCATGCCTTGTAACACTATGGATACCACTTCTCTTTCAAAATTTTTCAAACCAGCCCCTGCTTGCCTTAAACTCTTTCTTATCTGCATCACTCGTTGCAGGGGTATTCTTTAGAAGGTCTTCGTGCAACACCCTGGCTTTCTCACAAATAATGGCCTCCGAAACACTATCACCCCTCAACTCCTTGTCGTGTATCCAAATTAATAACAACTTTTCCACTTCTTCAAGTATTTGTGGTCTTTGTGCCGTTAATGTTCTTACTCCTTTTGCCACTTTAGCACCCATAATCTTATTTTTCTTCTTAAGTATAGTGCATATTGTTGATGTGGCTTTGTTGTACTGCCTACAAAGTTCAACAACACGTGTACCGTTCTCATGCTTCCGAATGATCTCTTGTTTCTCCTCTATTGTCATCCTCACATGAGCTTTCTGGCCTTTATCCTTACCACTGGCTTTCTTGGGACCCATGGTGAGATATATAATAACAAATTGTATAGACAAATCACCAAAAATCCAACAAAACACTGAAAATCCGCGAGAAGAATTGATGTGGGGGTAGTCACTGAGCGCGAGACAATAATAAACTGAGGGGCGGCGGGGCGGAGGGGCGACGATCGCCGAACCACCACGCGCTAGGTCGGCTGTACGCGTATCAACAAACTCGCGTCCAAACTCGCCTCCCGAAGTAACCATCGCCTTCCGAGACAAATTTTTGGAGTAAATACATCTCGCCTTCCGAAAACCTCGCATACAGGGACAATCGCATTCCGAGGTACCACTGTATTTCATTTTGGTACCAACGTGTTCGCAATAAAATTCTCTAGAAGAACATCAGTAAAAAAAGTCACGAAACGTATAGGGATACCACCACCAAATAAATAACTACGAAGATGACTCGCCGTTAGCGCCCAACAGCAACAAAATGTTTTTACTCTTGGGATTGTTATCACCTCCACACTTGTCCTACAGCGTTAATTTTGGTATCAATGGACTCGCAATGAAATTCCCAACACGGTGATATGAATATAAGCGTAGAATAATGATTGCGGCCCTCCCGCAAGAGTGTGGGAAGTGGTGAAATTGTTACCCGGTATCTGTGACGGGACGACGCACGGCGCTTTGAAAGTTTATACTTATTTCACTCTCATGACATTAATTTTCTATGTACGTCATTCATTTTTGTGTCAATGTGTTCGCAATAGAATGTTCTATGAGCCCATAGGTAAAAAGGATCAACAAAGCGTAAGCTAGAATAGCGCCAAATATAAAACAACTCTGGAACATATCAGTGAGCGTCAAACACACACGAAATGTTTTTACTTTTGTTATGTTTGTCAAGTTTATACTTGTTGTACACAGTTATTTTTGGTTGTACATTGATCGGAATAAAATTCCCTAAACAGACATATGCATATAATACATGATATGGGGGAAGCATTACCAGTATAAACAGCTAAAGTCACCCACCTGCAACCCGTTTGGGACATACCATTTGATCGAAGTGGTCCACACCTTTCATGAACTTATTGTACCATGCAGCCTAGTGGTGAGAAAGAGAGCTTCATGGCGCGCAGTTTGAAACAAACCCAAAGTAAATCGGATAAAAATTGAATTTTATACAAATATTTTAAAAGAGGACATAACTTTATGTCCACCATGCGGGAGCGGTTAGCGAAACAGGACTCCTTGGTGCGTCCTGATCCCGCGAAAGTGTTAAGAACATCTGATTTTATGGATGTCCTTTTAAATCCTTATTTTAGTCACTTAATCTGCAATGTGAACTCACTCTGACAACCTTGTGATATAGTGCTATTTTACATCTGCATGACTCACAGGTGCTATAAAGGCCGATGCATTATAACCAGTCAACAATGGTTTTGGCAGAGTACAGTTGACCCAAGATGCTTTCTGTGAACTATTTCAGCTATTTATCGAGGAAAATATCCTTAATAAAAAGAAGAAGTGTTCATAATATACCAAGGAAGAGATGATAAAAATCCTACAAACAATGCTGCAGATAATAAAGCACTCTGAGAAGAGAGAGATGCCAAAATAAATTATATGTATGAGTCATTAATCACTCCACAATTGGAACTATTATCAAGGCAGGTAGAAATAGCTAAGCTACTCTACCCCTGCGCCAGAGAAGAGCCGGAAGCTCCCCAACCCGAACCCCAGAGACCAATGCCAACAAAAATAGAACCCTCGAAAAACAATCTTGAACCGAAGGGGCTACCACAAACCAAGGAGAGGAAAAATAATAGAGCACCCTGAACAAGGACCAGGACGATTCAGGTGGTGCATGAACAGGACAGAGGTGAAACACAGCACAAGAATGCGCATGGGACGGGGCGAATGTGACGTCCACCCCGAACACAAGCTGGAGCAGCTCCACCAGAGTCGCACAATACGAGGCGACAGTAAGAAGCATCAATTAATGGTCCTGAAAAACCAAGAAAGGACAAGACAACCCGATGCAAAAGAGAAGACAACCTACTAAGAGAAAGAAAATGGCGAAAAGAAACACCAGGAAACTTCATTCTGTCGCCGAGACGAAGCTCACAGGTGGGACATCATCAACGAAGCAACCTGATCACCATAGAAATGGTGAAACACCCTCGTCAAAAGACCAGACGCGAAGAGCCGTGGAGAAGACCGAACCAGCCATGTACCGGACCGGTCTGACCTGCCGAAAGAGGCGGAGCTGCGAGAAGAGCCCCGGGTTCGGACACCAAAAAAGCAGCGTCCGAAAACAAAGCTCGGCCGGCCACCAAGGGGCCACGAGGACTACTATCCTTGGGAAAGGACTCCAATGAAGCCAGAACCCGAAGCAACAGCTGGACCGGGGGAAGAGGTACAGGTAACATCACCTCGACCAGTCCTGCCGAAAGGCATCCACCGCGAACACCTCGCAGGTGGGGAAGGGTGCCACATACTACGGGAGATGCTGAGACCACACCGACGTGAAGATGTCCATGTCCAGGAGTCCGTACATCAGGCAGAGCCAACGAAATGAGTCAGTGACGACCAGCCAATCTGGGAACAGAGGAATGAACCAAGACAGGCTGTCCGCCAAGACGTTGGAAACCCCCCGGACGTGAACCGCACAGAGAGCCAAACCTTGAGAATCCAGCAGACGAGCCACTCGAAGTGACCAACCCCAAAGGGGCGAGGACCGAAGAGAACCCCAGTGGGGCCAGCAATGAACCACCGGAGAACAGTCCGAATGGAGTCGGATGGTAGAGCTCCGAGTGACCCAAACCCTCCAAAGTGCAAACCAGACAGCCACGAACTCCCGAACCGTGCTGTGAGCCCGATGTAAGGATGGACCCCACCATCCCCGGCCGGCCTGATGAGCATTGGTCACAAAGCCCCAGCTGAAAGATGACCTGTCCTTGAACACATCTTATTCAAGATGGATCGCATCCAGATCGCCTGGAAGTGAGGAAAGCTTCCAGGCGATCATGGGAGGGTTTTGTGGGAATTTTACCCAGGATGGATGTTCACTGTATGTTTCCCTGATCCATGTCCATACTTCCTGGAGTTTTATCTTAAGCTGTGCTGCAAGGCCGGGGAAGAAAAGCGTTGGGAGAATCCATCTCTTGTCTTCCACTACTTGTGTTCTAGGTCTGAGTAGCTCTGCCCTTGTTTTTTCTCTGACTTTCTCCTGGGCCACATGTATTATTGTCTCTGGGTAGTCTTTGTTCCTGAACATATCCCATAGGTCATCAAGCTGGGGATATAGCGTCTCTTCTTTGCTATTAATCCGCTTGAGTCCAAGTGAATAGGGTAGCGATTTCTTCAAGGCTAGTGGATGGCTCGAGTCAAATTTCAGATACGTGTGAAGGTTGTGTTGAACACCCCCAAAAAACTAAGTCATGTAAACCAAGGGGGCAGCTCTGGGACTTCCAAACAGGCACACAACCAGGCACATTGCCACATAGAAACACAGCTATGCAATGTAACCGCTGTTCGATTCCACAGAAAATTTGATGTGTAAAGATTAACATGGAGTACATGAGGAGAACAAGTCCCACAAGACCCTGGGTCATAGGTGTCACCAACCCATACGCAGCATGGCGGAGGCAGAACAGAAGATCAGCACCCTGAGGCAAGAGTGACAAGCAACCCTCAAATTCGCTCAAGGCGAGAACAGGCATGAAATAGGCACCATTGTACAACTGAGCCCTCAGGGGATTTCCAGGGCCTGCAGGATGAAAGAGCCTTACAGGAAGCCCAAGCACTTGGGCTAGCTATACTGATAACCCTTGTTGGTGCAGACAACCAGACCACTAGAAACTGCTGGAAAGCCCAAGGGGCACTACCATACTCACCTTAGGCTAGTCTAATTAGGTGAAAGGCAGAATTCCTCTGCCAAAAGAGGTAAACAAAGGTGCCAGCAAATGTGAGTGAATGGAAAAAAAACAGACCCCACAA